GAACCGGACCAAAGTCATGGCCTCATGTGTAAACGGCTGTAATGTGTGGCTGTGTCCTTAGGCAAGACACTTCCCCCACATTAGAATGAGTCTGGTGTGTGTGTGAATGGTTGGTGGTGGTGGGAGGGGCTGATGGCACAGACTGGTTGCCTCGCTTCGGTCAGTGTGCCCCAGGGCAGCTGTGGCTACAGTAGTTTATCACCACCGTGTTTGGAGAGAGAGAATAATGAAAAGCATCTTTAACCAATGCCAAACCAAAGCATTATTTTTAGTATTATTATTTTCTCGTTGTGTTTGTGTTTCTTTGGACTCCTTTAATGGCTCACTTTCATCTCTGCATCACTTTACACATTTCTGCACTTTACAAACAGGTGCAACAGTGCCTTTAAACACCTGGCGCGTTGTCAAACGCCATGACGCCTCTGTGCGCGGCGAGGGGTGCGTTCGATCTGTTTTCAGGAGCGTCTGGGATTAGAGCGTTCCCCTTTGAACGTGTCTGACGTGTGACAGGCGCAGTACTTTATGAATACTGTGTGTATTCCCCGAGGGCGGAGGGAAGAGGACTACTGTGGAACTGCAAATAAGACCTGTCGGATTGATATGTTTCTGAGTTTACGAATGTCAGAGAATTGGTAAAAACCCGGATTTTTCAACCCTCTGGTATATCAGTTCAATTCAAATAACTTTATTAATCAGTGAGGAACTTCAGGCAAGGCAAGGCAAGTTTATTTATATAGCACAATTCATACACAAGGCAATTCAAAGTGCTGAACAAAATAAGAAAGCATTAAAATCATAAATAATCACAGAACATTAAAACGAAAGATAAAAGTATAAAATCCCTCAGTTGTAGCACAGCTAAACAGAACTGTCTTTTACCTGGTTTTAAACATTGTCAGAGAAGAGGCCTGTCTCACATCTTCAGGAAGACTGTTCCAGATTTTAGCAGCATGAATCTGAAAAGCCACAGACGGAGCAGCAGTGGGGGACATAACAACACAGAAACACAAGATCTGAATATAAATACTGTAAAAGAGCAGAAATGCAATATAAGCAGGTCTCAGGTCAGCAGGTTAAAAGGCAAAGTGAGGTGGCGAGGAAGCTGGATGTGGCCCGTTTTGTTTGAATGGGAGGGATTTGAACCTATGCCCTGCTGGGAGCAGAGTGAGACATCTGTCTGTGGAGACTTTCCTTAAAACCATGTCATTGTAAACAGGGCTGGGCCAAAAATCGAATACTCAAAAAATCTAAACCTTTCTCAAATTTGATGTGAATTAAATCAAGAGAAACTAATGATGAGCCTGAGCTGAAGGTGTTTTCTCCTAAATTCACTGATTTGAAGAAAAAGGAAGGACACATTTAGCCACTGCTTTATTCTCTCATCATAAACATACATTTGCACAAGAACTAAGACTTGGACTTTTCTCTACTTTTACTGGTTTTATTATGATTTCTTTTCAGTGTTGCTCATGTCTGTTCTGCTGTGTCCCTGTGTTTAAACCCTGTGCTCCTCTGTTCTGCTGTGTCCCTGTGTTTAAACCCTGTGCTCCTCTGTTCTGCTGTGTCCCTGTGTTTAAACCCTGTGCTCCTCTGTTCTGCTGTGTGTCCCTGTGTTTAAACCCTGTGCTCCTCTGTTCTGCTGTGTCCCTGTGTTTAAACCCTGTGCTCCTCTGTTCTGCTGTGTGCCCCTGTGTTTAAACCCTGTGCTCCTCTGTTCTGCTGTGTGTCCCTGTGTTTAAACCCTGTGCTCCTCTGTTCTGCTGTGTGTCCCTGTGTTTAAACCCTGTGCTCCTCTGTTCTGCTGTGTCCCTGTGTTTAAACCCTGTGCTCCTCTGTTCTGCTGTGTCCCTGTGTTTAAACCCTGTGCTCCTCTGTTCTGCTGTGTCCCTGTGTTTAAACCCTGTGCTCCTTTGTTCTGCTGTGTGTCCCTGTGTTTAAACCCTGTGCTCCTCTGTTCTGCTGTGTCCCTGTGTTTAAACCCTGTGCTCCTCTGTTGTGTGTGTGTCCCTGTGTTTAAACCCTGTGCTCCTCTGTTCTGCTGTGTCCCTGTGTTTAAACCCTGTGCTCCTCTGTTCTGCTGTGTGTCCCTGTGTTTAAACCCTGTGCTCCTCTGTTCTGCTGTGTCCCTGTGTTTAAACCCTGTGCTCCTCTGTTCTGCTGTGTGTCCCTGTGTTTAAACCCTGTGCTCCTTTGTTCTGCTGTGTGTCCCTGTGTTTAAACCCTGTGCTCCTCTGTTGTGTGTGTGTCCCTGTGTTTAAACCCTGTGCTCCTCTGTTCTGCTGTGTCCCTGTGTTTAAACCCTGTGCTCCTCTGTTCTGCTGTGTCCCTGTGTTTAAACCCTGTGCTCCTTTGTTCTGCTGTGTGTCCCTGTGTTTAAACCCTGTGCTCCTCTGTTCTGCTGTGTGTCCCTGTGTTTAAACCCTGTGCTCCTCTGTTGTGTGTGTGTCCCTGTGTTTAAACCCTGTGCTCCTCTGTTGTGTGTGTGTCCCTGTGTTTAAACCCTGTGCTCCTCTGTTCTGCTGTGTCCCTGTGTTTAAACCCTGTGCTCCTCTGTTCTGCTGTGTGTCCCTGTGTTTAAACCCTGTGCTCCTCTGTTCTGCTGTGTCCCTGTGTTTAAACCCTGTGCTCCTCTGTTCTGCTGTGTGTCCCTGTGTTTAAACCCTGTGCTCCTCTGTTCTGCTGTGTCCCTGTGTTTGAACCCTGTGCTCCTCTGTTCTGCTGTGTGTCCCTGTGTTTAAACCCTGTGCTCCTCTGTTCTGCTGTGTCCCTGTGTTTAAACCCTGTGCTCCTCTGTTCTGCTGTGTCCCTGTGTTTAAACCCTGTGCTCCTCTGTTCTGCTGTGTCCCTGTGTTTAAACCCTGTGCTCCTCTGTTCTGCTGTGTCCCTGTGTTTAAACCCTGTGCTCCTCTGTTCTGCTGTGTGTCCCTGTGTTTAAACCCTGTGCTCCTCTGTTGTGTGTGTGTCCCTGTGTTTAAACCCTGTGCTCCTCTGTTCTGCTGTGTCCCTGTGTTTAAACCCTGTGCTCCTCTGTTCTGCTGTGTGTCCCTGTGTTTAAACCCTGTGCTCCTCTGTTCTGCTGTGTCCCTGTGTTTAAACCCTGTGCTCCTCTGTTGTGTGTGTGTCCCTGTGTTTAAACCCTGTGCTCCTCTGTTCTGCTGTGTCCCTGTGTTTAAACCCTGTGCTCCTCTGTTCTGCTGTGTGTCCCTGTGTTTAAACCCTGTGCTCCTCTGTTCTGCTGTGTCCCTGTGTTTAAACCCTGTGCTCCTCTGTTCTGCTGTGTGTCCCTGTGTTTAAACCCTGTGCTCCTCTGTTCTGCTGTGTCCCTGTGTTTAAACCCTGTGCTCCTCTGTTCTGCTGTGTGTCCCTGTGTTTAAACCCTGTGCTCCTCTGTTCTGCTGCTGTGTCCCTGTGTTTAAACCCTGTGCTCCTCTGTTCTGCTGTGTCCCTGTGTTTAAACCCTGTGCTCCTCTGTTCTGCTGTGTGTCCCTGTGTTTAAACCCTGTGCTCCTCTGTTCTGCTGTGTCCCTGTGTTTAAACCCTGTGCTCCTCTGTTCTGCTGTGTCCCTGTGTTTAAACCCTGTGCTCCTCTGTTCTGCTGTGTCCCTGTGTTTAAACCCTGTGCTCCTCTGTTCTGCTGTGTCCCTGTGTTTAAACCCTGTGCTCCTCTGTTCTGCTGTGTGTCCCTGTGTTTAAACCCTGTGCTCCTCTGTTCTGCTGTGTCCCTGTGTTTAAACCCTGTGCTCCTCTGTTCTGCTGTGTCCCTGTGTTTAAACCCTGTGCTCCTCTGTTGTGTGTGTGTCCCTGTGTTTAAACCCTGTGCTCCTCTGTTCTGCTGTGTCCCTGTGTTTAAACCCTGTGCTCCTTTGTTCTGCTGTGTGTCCCTGTGTTTAAACCCTGTGCTCCTCTGTTGTGTGTGTGTCCCTGTGTTTAAACCCTGTGCTCCTCTGTTGTGCTGTGTGTCCCTGTGTTTAAACCCTGTGCTCATCTGTTGTGTGTGTGTGTGTGTGTGTGTATTTGACCCTGTGCTCCTCTGTTGTGTGTGTGTGTGTGTGTTTGACCCTGTGCTCCTCTGTTGTGTGTGTGTGTGTGTTTAAACCCTGTGCTCCTCTGTTGTGTGTGTGTGTGTTTAAACCCTGTGCTCCTCTGTTGTGTGTGTGTGTGTGTGTTTGACCCTGTGCTCCTCTGTTGTGTGTGTGTGTGTTTAAACCCTGTGCTCCTCTGTTGTGTGTGTGTGTGTGTGTGTGTTTAAACCCTGTGCTCCTCTGTTGTGTGTGTGTGTGTGTGTGTGTGTTTAAACCCTGTGCTCCTCTGTTGTGTGTATGTGTGTGTGTGTGTATTTGACCTCTCCTCTTGTTGTTGGTCCATTGTGTTTTTGTCCCAGTTTCGTCATTGGAGTTTTGTAACCCTGGATTGTGTTATTCCTGAGTTTTTGTCTATTCAATCTTATATTTTTGGCAGTCCTGCTTTTCCGCTGCGTGACAAGCCGACCCTTGTATGTGTGTGTTCTGCACCATCGAGTCCTCTCTAAGACCAGCTGTTCTGACTGTTCTGGAGGCAGTAGATTTGGTGAAGTGTAGACGTGTAGCGTGGTCCATTTTCTTTGTGGATATAAACGCAGCGACTTCAGCTCGTGGAGGCAGCGGCAGCTCGTGGCTCTCACACGGTTTACCAGAGTGAGCAGGTGTGAGGCCGGATGTTTCTGGGACACACGGCGCCCTGGTGGGGGGGGTGTCCTGGTCCACATTCACCCAGACACCTGTGAGGAGGGGGCCGCGGAGCTTTGAAGACACCGGACATAAAGCCACAAAATTGTCTTTTTCTGACGAGCAGAAAGAGGAGGTTTGTGATTTATTAGCAAACAAGAGCACAGGAGAAAAGAATTCACCAGATTTTGATTTAAATGTATTTCAATCTTTATGAACGTGATCTTGTCCTCACAACACTACATTTAGTACCTGAATCTTTTGTGACTGAATAAAAACGCTAACATTGACAGACCAATGCTCAGTCTCCAGACCTCCATCTCCAGCCCGAGCCTCCACCTCTGCTCCCGCCTGCAGCTCTCGTCTTCGGGGAGACTCTTGTCCATCCATGCGGAGCTAAGTCAGTTTGACGGACAGGCCCCTGCTCTCCCTCGGCCCCTCGCTCTCCCGCTCCAGCATTGTCCTGTCATGTCCACGCTCCCGAGGTGACGCTCCTGACTAAATCATCCGGTAACATGATGGCGGAATAATCTCGCTTTTGGGAATAATGGGTGTTATCAAGCAAATAGCCGTGATTATGTTGTACAAAGGCAGAGTTAGTGTGTAAAAACTGGGCTGGATGATTGGCGGGAGACATGGAGGAGAATGGAGTGGCTTTGCTTGGTTAATAAACTGCTGGGTTCTTTTGAGGCTTTTAAAAACACATTTGTCATTGTGTGGGTTTTAAAAGATCCAAGTAATTAGTTGTCGAGCAAGAGATAGCAGAAATGTTGGCGTCCATCTTGGGTTCGATTCCACCTCCAGACGGATCCTTTCCATTGAGAAGATTGCTTGTTCTCCTCTTGTATGATCCGGTTTCCTCCAGGTGCTCCGGTTTCCGCCAACACAAAACAATGTGTACAATTGGTGTAGGGCTGAAACAACTAATCGATTAATCGACGACTAATCGATTATTGAAATAGTCGACAACTATTTTAGTAATCGATTAATCGTTTTCTGGTTCACACGGACTCAAACAGAGCAAAAATGACATGAAAATGACATTAAAACCGACTTTGTTTTTATAATTTCATGAATATCTGTCTGTCTCATCCAATCAGAGCAGAATTAGCAGAAAGAGCCTGTTACAAACATTTACTCTAAGTTTACGCCTCAATACGTCCTCGAGTGTTGCCACTTTAGCTTTTTGTGATGAAAAAATATTTTTTTTCTACACAATTCACAGCCAAGCGATTACTCGATTAATCGTAAAAATAATCGATAGATTAATCGATTACAAAATAATCGTTAGTTGCAGCTCTAAATTGGTGTTTCATTCACCTCTCTCTGTGTGGAGTGACGTCTGTGAAAGGCGCATAAATACAGATTATTATTATTATTAAGGAGAGGAATAGCCTCTTGAGATGATACTTATTTAAAGCTTTGGAGTCAGAAGGATGTGATAAATATTTAAAACAGAAATAGTTGTTACAGTTTCATGTGCGAGCTTCTTTCCACCAGCTCGACCGATATCCTATTTTTTGCTTGGAATCTCTGGGTCCCCCACAACGTGATTTGTAGAGCTGCAACTAACGATTATTTTGTAATCGATTAATCTATCGATTATTTTTACGATTAATCGAGTAATCGCTTGGCTGTGAATTGTGTAGAAAAAAAATATTTTTTCATCACAAAAAGCTAAAGTGGCAACACTCGAGGACGTATTGATGGCGTAAACTTAAAGTAAATGTTTGTAACAGGCTCTTTGTGCTAATTCTGCTCTGATTGGATGAGACAGACAGATATTCATGAAATTATAAAAACAAAGTCGGTTTTAATCAAAAATACTACATTTTCATGTAATTTTTGCTCTGTTTGAGTCCGTGTGAACCAGAAAACGATTAATCGATTACTAAAATAGTTGACGACTATTTCAATTATCGATTAGTTGTCGATTAATCGATTAGTTGTTTCAGCCCTAGTGATATGGAAGCGGTATATTATCACAATATGGCAATACTGTGATTATCGATATATTACACACGTCCCATCCAAATGTGGTTGTTTTAGTGTTTTTATGTGTGTGTGTTTACCTCAAACATCACAGCTGCTTCTGAGCTCATTATATCATGAGGCAAATAATTACTGTTAACGAATGTGCCTTTGGGGATTCTGATTTGTAGTGTGTGTTTCTGAACAAAATCAGTAAAATCAGTATTATTGTTACGGCACAAGAGACAAACCCAGCAGCAGGAGCCGGATGAAGGGTTAACAAACAGAGTAACAGCAGGTGAGTAACAGCAGGTGAGCAGTGAGTCTACTCTGAGCTCCACCGCTGTTACTCTGCTCCAAGTGTCTGTGTTTATAGGCCAGAATAGGAACGTAGATCTGAACCAAAACAGAACCAGAGACCTTTAGAGGAGAATGTACTTTTGCCTTTCGACTCTGCTCCCTCTTCACCACATCAGCCCGATTCAGCGACTGCAAAGATGTCCGAGTATTCTCTCGAGACAAACTTAGATAAATGAATGTCCTCTATATTCTATGTTTGTTTTATGAATCCATCAATTTGTTTTGCTAAACTGTGAAGCAAAGAATCATGGCGTACAAAGAATCATGGCGTACAAAGAATCATGGCGCACACATTCCTCTGTAGCAGAGATGTCAAAGTCAAATCCATCAAAAGCCAAAAAATACAACTTTGCTTCAAGCCGAGGGCCAGACCGGTTCAATGTTTATTAAAATCATGCATCTTGTTGAACCAAGACCTAACACAGATTTAATTATTAAATTAATAATGTTTTGTATGGCTCTGTCTGTCCATTTTCTAACAGCTCTCAGACAAAAACAAGTTCCTTCAAAGAGAAAATGTCCCAAATATTAAATGAATTATCCATAATTTTCTCATGGCTCTGTGCGGCCGCTTCTAACACTGATCAAATATCATCCCAAGGGCCAAGCTAATTCATTCACGGGCCGGAGCTGGTCCCTGGGCCTTGACTTTGACACCAAGGCTCTATAGGATTTTAGACATCTGCTGCCAAAAGCAAAATATGGTTTACCAAATATTGTATTGTGTTTCAGTTTCTGTGGCTGCTTGATCTGAACCTAAAAACATAGATTTCCGCTCTTTCTCCTCGTTGTGCATTAAACATTTATCCCTTGTTAGTGTTCTACCACAGAATAGTTTGCAGATAGATATCATCCATGTTGGCTCAGTAATGGAGCAGAAAAGAAGCGCGGAGGCCACTGGGGACCGAAGCTAGCATCAAAATTTAATGGCAAAATCCAACACGAAAACTGCTCGCCTCGGAATGAGTCCCAGGCCGTCGTCACGCGGAGCCTTCGGACATTTGGACACAGTTTTGATAGGATCTAGTTGGATAATTGCTTCACGATGGAAATAGGAATGTGTATCGTTGGGTAAATGCCGTCCGTAGTGAAAACATTTTACTGCTGCAGCTCCACATCCCCTTCGCCATCACCACAACAAACATATAGTGGACTGCTTTAATCAACAACAGATATACATTGGATTAAATTATGTAAGAACAATGTAGGGAGACATTTGAGGGAAGCCAAGTCACGGTATAGATAGTGTCCTGGATTTAGAAGCTTGTGCAGCAATTCAAGGGTAAAGAGCGGATCCCAGCAGCAGTATGGTGTTGTTCAGAGGAGCCAAAATGCCTGATGCTCAAAAGTGCAGCCAAATAGATGGGTCGAAATAAGAAGACAAGAGTGGAGGTGAACGTCTGGTCTTACCATGTGTAAACTCTGGTCCATGATCATCTCCTACATGTACGTCTGGTCTTACCATGTGTAAACTCTGGTCCATGATCATTTCCTACATGTACGTCTGGTCTTACCATGTGTAAACTCTGGTCCGTGATCATCTCCTACATGTACGTCTGGTCTTACCATGTGTAAACTCTGGTCCGTGATCATATCCTACATGTACGTCTGGTCTTACCATGTGTAAACTCTGGTCCATGGTCATATCCTACATGTACGTCTGGTCTTACCATGTGTAAACTCTGGTCCATGATCATCTCCTACATGTACGTCTGGTCTTACCATGTGTAAACTCTGGTCCATGATCATTTCCTACATGTACGTCTGGTCTTACCATGTGTAAACTCTGGTCCGTGATCATCTCCTACATGTACGTCTGGTCTTACCATGTGTAAACTCTGGTCCGTGATCATATCCTACATGTACGTCTGGTCTTACCATGTGTAAACTCTGGTCCATGGTCATATCCTACATGTACGTCTGGTCTTACCATGTGTAAACTCTGGTCCATGATCATCTCCTACATGTACGTCTGGTCTTACCATGTGTAAACTCTGGTCCATGATCATCTCCTACATGTACGTCTGGTCTTACCATGTGTAAACTCTGGTCCATGGTCATTTCCTACATGTACGTCTGGTCTTACCATGTGTAAACTCTGGTCCATGGTCATTTCCTACATGTACGTCTGGTCTTACCATGTGTAAACTCTGGTCCGTGATCATATCCTACATGTACGTCTGGTCTTACCATGTGTAAACTCTGGTCCATGGTCATTTCCTACATGTACGTCTGGTCTTACCATGTGTAAACTCTGGTCCATGATCATTTCCTACATGTACGTCTGGTCTTACCATGTGTAAACTCTGGTCCATGGTCATTTCCTACATGTACGTCTGGTCTTACCATGTGTAAACTCTGGTCCATGATCATTTCCTACATGTACGTCTGGTCTTACCATGTGTAAACTCTGGTCCATGATCATTTCCTACATGTACGTCTGGTCTCACCATGTGTAAACTCTGGACCATGATCATCTCCTACATGTACGTCTGGTCTTACCATGTGTAAACTCTGGTCCATGGTCATCTCCTACATGTACGTCTGGTCTTACCATGTGTAAACTCTGGTCCATGATCATTTCCTACATGTACGTCTGGTCTTACCATGTGTAAACTCTGGTCCATGATCATTTCCTACATGTACGTCTGGTCTTACCATGTGTAAACTCTGGTCCATGATCATTTCCTACATGTACGTCTGGTCTTACCATGTGTAAACTCTGGTCCATGATCATTTCCTACATGTACGTCTGGTCTTACCATGTGTAAACTCTGGTCCATGATCATTTCCTACATGTACGTCTGGTCTTACCATGTGTAAACTCTGGTCCATGATCATTTCCTACATGTACGTCTGGTCTTACCATGTGTAAACTCTGGTCCATGATCATTTCCTACATGTACGTCTGGTCTTACCATGTGTAAACTCTGGTCCATGGTCATTTCCTACATGTACGTCTGGTCTTACCATGTGTAAACTCTGGTCCATGGTCATTTCCTACATGTACGTCTGGGTCTGATCCAAGTGGCTGCAGTTTCCTCGGTTTTATCCCATATTTGCAGGTTGTAGTTTGTCGGAGAATGTGATGGTAATGTAATCTTTTCTGGTTCGACTCCGAATATAAAGAAACTGAAGCCGGAGCAAGAGGAATGTTTAGTAAATAGCCCACGGGCTCTGTTAGTGACAAAGGAGATGGCTAAAGCTAGGCTAAATGCTAAAGCTAGGCTAAAGGCTAAAGGCTAGCGACTTACTCCGGTGCATTACATACGTCATGGTAAACTCAATCTGCAAAAGGAGTCAACCCCTCCCACCTGTCAATGGAGCTCAATCAATCAATAATGGAGCAAATCCAGACCTAAGTACAAAATGAAATGTGTACTATGGTGTGGTAAGACCAGGCTAGTGCAATCCTGACTTGCCGGGGAAAGAATATTAGGACAAGATGAGAGAAACCTTTATCTTTCACAAAGTGGAAATTACAGCAGAACAGAAGGAGAACATGAGAGACTCTGTTCTGCACACATCAAATAGGATTTACTATTTGAGATAAACTATAATTAAATAGTAATATCATAAAACTAGGCCATTTGTGGAGTACACACTGTAGTCAGCAGCACCAGGAGGATGTTACAGATGTTACAGCAGCAGAGAGTATAACCAGATAAACAATAGTGATAACTGCAGCAGGTGAAGTGGATCAGAACAGATTTTTCAGAATAATGAAATATGTCATGTATGAATTTAAAATGTGTGATATTCTATGCACGAGAAGTCGCAAAGAAAGTGATTGATTGAATGAAAGTAAATGGACAAATGGAAAAAGATTATGATTCTAATATGACTTTAAAGTAGTTTTTGAGGAGTATGTCATGATTTACACCAATATCCCCAAAAACATCCGCACTGGGAGCAAACCAGGACAATGCAGCACTGGCTTTTAAACAACAACACATTACTTTAACTCGTCTCCTTTTCAACCAATTAAAGTCAAGAACATGGCACGATCCAAACGGGATTGCCTCTTGATCAGCGCCTCGTCGACAGCCTCGGCCCCCGTCGGCCATTATCCTCATCACAGTCATCTCCGCTAATCACCGCTCCAATCGTGGCCGACATAAATCTAATCAGCGGCAGAGGCGTCCAGTGCCACTCGCTCAGCGGCTTTGGCAGAGACCGGAGGAAGCGCTGGCAGTGAGGAGCTGGAAATCATCAGAGCTTTGTGGAAACTATGGCACAGTGGGGAGAATGGGCGTGATGTTTACCAGGGCTGGGAACTGGCCAAAATGTGACTATTCAAAAGTATTGTGACGTTTGGGCCAAAATTCAGTATTACTGCGATTCTTAACATAATGCGATACAGCAAGTATTTTAATTCAATTCTGTGATATATTGTGATTCATGTCATTTTCTCTCTCTTTAATAATCCATCTCTGGGTCATTGGGGTCAATCAGAGCTGCCCCCAGAGCCTAAAGCACCAGGCCCTCACTGAACCTCCTGCAGGTGGTGGGTCCACCTCTGTCATCAAAGACACAGCCTTGGTCCTTCATTGGGGGCTTCAAGCAATGTGTGGTAGTAGTAGTAGTAATCTTTATTTATATACCGCCTTTTCACTGCACATCAGAGTCTCAAAGCGGTTTACAATTGTTATTTTTGGGAGCGGGGTCGCCAGAACAGGAGGCACATGCCAGACCTATTGTACAAATTTTTAGTGGTAGGGGAAACCGGAGTACCCGGAGGAAACATACGCAGACATGGGGAGAACATGCAAACTGCACTCAGAAAGGCCCTGGTCCAACCGGGATTCGAACCCAGGACCTTCTTGCTGAGAGGCGAGAGTGCTATCCACTCAGCCACCGTGCCGCCCAAGTGTCTTGCCCAGGGACACAACGACAGCAGACATCAGTGGGAGCAGGTGATATGGGTTGTGGGGGATCAATACCACGACCATTGGGTCCTACCCCTGTCGCCCTACAGACATTTATTAACTGCAGTCATTTTCAAATCAGTAGAGAAAAGCTGTGCAGAGCATAATAAATGTGACTTTTGAGTTGAATGTGAATAACGACAGGGACATGGTTCGCTAATAAATATATCGTAGAATCGATCATAATACTGCTGTATCGCAATAAGTTCAGAAGTTCAATTTTGAATTGTGGCGCAAATCATCAATACTATCTATTTTTGCCAATTCCCCCTCCTGAACAAGACAAAATGTCATTGTGAACATTTAAGCTCTTATCCCGTCTCAAACCTTGACTCTTTATTGTTGTTGGACCAATTCCACACAATTGAAACTCATTTTCCAAACGACTCCTTTTGTAATTTCCCCATTGTCTTTCTCCTGATCAGAGAAACACTTGTCCTTCGGTGTTTGCACAGAGGTCCCACAGAGGCCCCACAGAGGTCCCACAGAGGTCCCACAGAGGTCCCACAGAGGTCCCACAGAGGTCCCACAGAGGCCCCACAGAGGTCCCACAGAGGCCCCACAGAGGTCCCACAGAGGTCCCACAGAGGTCCCACAGAGGCCCCACAGAGGTCCCACAGAGGCCCCACAGACGCCCCACAGAGGGAACTGCAAAATGCTGTTTGCAGGTTGTAAATGTCACCAGTGTTTCTTCTCTGTGTCCATAGAGCAGATCGATACAGTCTGTGTTTGCCTGTGTCCTTCACAGATCTGCAGCTGCACATGCCAACCACACACCAACCACACACAACCACACACCAACCACACACCAACCACACACCAACCACACTCCAACCACACACCAACCACACACCAACCACACTCCAACCACACACCAACCACACTCCAACCACACACCAACCACACTCCAACCACACACCAACCACACACCAACCACACTCCAACCACACACCACACACACACACCAACCACACACCAACCACACACCAACCACACACCAACCACACAGCAACCACACTCCAACCACACACCAACCACACACAACCACACACCAACCACACACCAACCACACTCCAACCACACACCAACCACACACCAACCATACACCAACCACACACAACCACACACCAACCACACACCAACCACACACCAACCACACTCCAACCACACACCAACCACACACCAACCACACTCCAACCACACACCAACCACACACCAACCACACACCAACCACACACCAACCACACACCAACCACACCCCAACCACACACCAACCACACTCCAACCACACACCAACCACACTCCAACCACACACCAACCACACACACCAACCACACTCCAACCACACACCAACCACACACCAACCACACACCAACCACACACACACCACACACACCAACCACACACCAACCACACTCCAACCACACACCAACCACACTCCAACCACACACCAACCACACACCAACCACACTCCAACCACACACCAACCACACTCCAACCACACACCAACCACACACCAACCACACAACCAACCACACACCCAACCACACACCAACCACACACCACACCACACACCAACCACACACCAACCACACACCAACCACACACCAACCACACACCAACCACACACCAACCACACACCACCACCACACACCAACCACACACCAACCACACACCAACCACACCCAACCACATGCCAACCACACACCAACCACACACAACCACACACCAACCACACACCAACCACACACCAACCACACTCCAACCACACACCAACCACACACACACCCACACCCAACACACCACACACAACCACACACCACCACACACACAACCACACACCAACCACACACCAACCACACACCAACCACACACAACCACACACCAACCACACACCAACCACATGCCAACCACACACCAACCACACACAACCACACACCAACCACACACCAACCACATGCCAACCACACACCAACCACACACCAACCACACTCCAACCACACACCAACCACACTCCAACCAGACACCAACCACACTCCAACCACATGCCAACCACACACCAACCACACACCAACCACACACAACCACACACCAACCACACACCAACCACACTCCAACCACATGCCAACCACACACCAACCACACTCCAACCACACACACACCAACCACACACCAACCACACTCCAACCACACACAACCACACACCAACCACACACCAACCACACACCAACCACACACCAACCACACTCCAACCACACACCAACCACACACCAACCACACACCAACCACACACCAACCACACACCAACCACACACCAACCACACTCCAACCACACACCAACCACACACCAACCACACACCAACCACACTCCAACCACACACCAACCACACTCCAACCACACACCAACCACACACCAACCACACTCCAACCACACACCAACCACACTCCAACCACACACCAACCACACGCCAACCACACACCAACCACACACCACAACCACACACCAACCACACACCAACCACACACCAACCACACACCAACCACACACCAACCACACACCAACCACACACCACACCACACACACCAACCACACACCAACCACACTCCAACCACACACCAACCACACTCCAACCACACACCAACCACACACCAACCACACACCAACCACACACCAACCACACCACACACCACCACACACCACCACACACCAACCACACTCCAACCACACACCAACCACACACCAACCACACACCAACCACACACCAACCACACACCAACCACACTCCAACCACACACCAACCACACTCCAACCATACACCAACCACACACCAACCACACACCACCACCACACACCAACCACACACCAACCACACTCCAACCACATGCCAACCACACACCAACCACACACAACCACACACCAACCACACACCAACCACACACCAACCACACTCCAACCACACACACACCCACACACCAACCACACACCAACCACACACCAACCACACACCAACCACACACCAACCACACACCAACCACACTCCAACCACACACCAACCACACTCCAACCATACACCAACCACACACCAACCACACACCAACCACACACCAACCACACACCAACCACACACCAACCACACACCAACCACACTCCAACCACATGCCAACCACACACCAACCACACTCCAACCACACACCAACCACACTCCAACCACACACCAACCACACACAACCACACACCAACCACACACCAACCACACTCCAACCACACACCAACCACACACAACCACACACCAACCACACTCCAACCACACACCAACCACACTCCAACCACACTCCAACCACACACCAACCACACTCCAACCACACACCAACCACACACCAACCACACACCAACCACACACCAACCACACTCCAACCACACACCAACCACATGCCAACCACACACCAACCACACACCAACCACACACCAACCACACACCAACCACACTCCAACCACACACAACCACACACCAACCACACACCAACCACACACCAACCACACTCCAACCACACACCAACCACACACCAACCACACACCAACCACACACTAAACTCAGCTCTGGGTCTGGTTCTTTCTAGTCCGGCCTTATCCATCCGTACACTGCGTTCAATCATCATGTCCTGCAGGTAACGTCTGGGTCTGGTCCCTGTGTTAGCGATTACAATTGGTCTTATTTTGACCGGCTACTCAGAGAGCGCGGAAGGCGGGTGTTGTAGGTCGTGCCGGTGACGTCAAGAGTTTGCGTCGATTGAGCAGGTTGTAGTTTGGCGAAGAATGCGATAGTAAAGTAATCCGGTCTGGTTCTATCAAGAAACTGAAGCCGGAGCAAGAGGAATGTTTAGCAAAAGTAATCGCTGGTCAAGATTGTGGCGCTACTCCCCACGGGCTCCGTTAGCGGCAAAGGAGATGGCTAAAGCTAGGCTAAATGCTAAATGCTAACAACTCACTCGGGCTCATTACATACGTCACAGTAAACTCAGATCGTTTCAGTCTGCAAAAGGAGTTAGCCCCTCCCACCTGTTACGGAGTCAATGGAGCAAATCCAGACCTTAGTACGAAATGTAATTTGTACTATGGTGTGGTACGACCAGGACGTTTGTGTTACCAAAAGTTGGCTCTTGGCCCAAAGCTCCGTCCCACATGTGTGTCAATGCTGAGGGGGGTGGATTTTTTTGGTCCACTCTAGTTTACTTGAATTTTTGAAGTCTCTCGTTTAAATGAATGGAGCTGCGCCGACTGATGCATGCACAGATGCGTTTTTTCACAATTTTCTTGTGGGCGGGACCACTCGCGGCCATTTTGGATAGCTCCAGTAGAGCACATTTTTTGGCCCATTAGTTAGAACGGCGGAGATAGGCGTGACTCTGTCCATTAATATATACAGTCTATGGGGTGGACCCGGAATAAGAATTAGCCAATGCTAACATATAGCATCTTCTTACCTCTGGAAAACGTCTTTACAGGATGGTCCAAAAGTGGCTCTTGGCCCAAAGCTCCGTTCCACATGTGTGTCAATGCTGAGTGTTCTGGACCAGTCTAGTTTAGTCGCTGTGGACTTTAGAAGTCACTCGTTTAAATGAATGGGGCTCGTGCAGCTGACGCATGCACAGATGCGTTTTCCTACTTCTCAGCACGATCTGGGTTTGAAGCTCAGTCGTAACAGGGCCTTTCTGACTGGAGTTTGCATGTTCTCCCCGTGTCTGTGGGCTGGATTTCTATGGATGTAGTTTTTTGTATCTCTGGCTTGACCTCTGATCTGAATCATTGAGTTGATCTTGATCCAACACAAACATGAAGTTGATTTTGTCTCAGGTGAATCATAATCTGTCTCTGTCTGATGCAGGAGGGTCTGAGGACAGAGGCAATGATCCAGGACTCTCCACATTCTGCTCCGTGTGGACCAATGGCTCTGAGTGTTTTGTTATCATTGCCTTTCCTGCGATTGGTTTGATTCTCTGATCTGTGTTGGCGAATCGACAGCTTTGTAAAGTCCTCAGAGATAACTACAGTTGTGATTTAGGGCTATACAAAATAAATGTAATTGAATTGAAATGACTAAAAATATACAAACATTGAATAAACATACTGTTTAATCTGTTGTGTAACGTTTCTTTTAGAAATGTGTGTGTTAATTTTCATACTTTATTTAGTAAGTAATAGTAGTAAGTATTTATTTATATACCGCCTTTTCACTGCAGATCTGAGTCTCAAAGCGGTTTACAATTGTTAATTTTTTGGGCATTTGTCTCTCACTCCACACAGAGATGGGAGCGCGGTCGCTCTAAAAGAGCGACCGCGCTTTATTTTAGACCAATATTGTGATTTAAGAAGAACCATGGTGTCATTGATCATGGCTCTAAAGATTACACTTTGCTTCGATAATTCCTTCAATAAAGTGCATTCAAAAATGAATCATGGAAACCAAATTCTCTTTCTTTGTTAAATCAGGTTTCATCCAAATTGGTTCTAATTCTACTTTTCAAACTCTTTTGCATCATTAAAAATGCAGAAATTAATCTTAAATCACTGGACAAAGTCTGAACGCTCCATCACGGGCTAGATGTAAGTTATGGCCAAAGCGATTATGCCACGATCATTTCAGGACCAGATTGCTGCAGTAAAGTTGGCAGCATTTCTCCAGTTATTGCTGCTATTTGCTGCTAAGCTCACGAGCGAGATTTACGACTGTGTGGTCCTCGGGAGATGTGCCGTTGGTGACATGTGGTGACAAATGTACTTTAAAGTGAACCTAGCGTGTCTGAGTGGTGTTCTCCTTGTGTTGTGTTTGACGATGCACTTGTGGAGCGGCATCATTGTAAAGATTCTAATTGGGATCAGAAGCTGTGCCCTGTTGAGATCAACTCATTGGAAGTTATAGTTTGACACAAAATCAGTTCCAATACTCACTATTCATTAGACATATTTTATAGTCTTGATAATTAACTTTTGATGATCCTGTATGGACTGTGTGGCCTCAGTCTAGTGCACTGTCTGACATGGAACAGTCCATGTGTCTGATTTTAACTGATCCAAGTACAAGCTTTAGTATGTATAACTTAGTTTCTTATAATTGTATAATTTATATTGCCAATACTATTCTTGGGTTTCATTAAACTGGCCAGTAGGGGGCGCATGAGCAGAGGTGGGACAGTTTTGCTTCCATTGAAAACCATGTAAAGTCTGTTTTGGAGTCAAAGGCTCTCCTCCTGTGCGGTGTACGGTTGTTGGAACAGTCTTAATCAGGGACACACAATTCTAAGGAAGCACTAACAAATATTTATCAAAAGAGTCTTGATTTTGGGCATTTTTGGAAAGAAAAACAGAAGAAATTGGTGCGTTTCATTGGGGTGGCCTGCAGGGGGCGCTTATCTGGGAGAGCCTTGATCCACCTCCGCCTCATTCCAGTTATTTTTTCAAAGTGTCTCCTTTATATGAGACCACAGTTGGAACATGAACAAACTCTGTCTTTCTCTCTATTTGTGCGGTTGCTACAAACGTACACCGCACAAAAAGATCCTTCTTCTTCTACTATATCTCCGTGTATAAACCACTTCTTCTTCTACTATATCTCCGTGTATAAACAGCTTCTTCTACTATATCTCTGTGTATAAACCACTTCTTCTTCTACTATATCTCCGTGTATAAACCAGTGAGGGCGGGTCCCGGCTTAAAAGTGTCCAAAATGACGTGCGCTGACATGCTGCAGTACCACCCCGGGCCTGTGGGGGTGGACCCAGAATAAGAATTAGCCAATGCTAACATATAGCATTAGCAGACCTCTGGAAAACGTCTTTACAGGATGGACCAAAAGTGTCTCTTGGCCCAAAGCTCCGTTCCACATGTGTGTCAATGCTGAGTGTTCTGGACCAGTCTAGTTTAGTCGCTGTGGACTTTAGAAGTCTCTCGTTTAAATGAATGGAGCTCGTGCAGCTGACGCACAGATGTGTTTTTTCACATTTTCCAGCCCCCGCGGCCATTTTGAATCACTCCATGAAAGCCCAATTTTTGGCCCATTAGTTAGAACAGCGGAGATAGGCCTGACTAGGTCTGTTCATATTTACAGTCTGTGGTTTAAACCCGGCAGACGGCAGCACCAGGATACGGCACGTCCTACGTTTGTTACTCACTGCCCTGACGTCATGTGGAACCCAAGAATATATCTATATTTTGAATGACTGGTATTGAAGCATTTAGAACATTTACAGCTAGCTAAGAAACACAACAGAGGCTACTTACAGTATTTTGTATATTGTGTGTGCTCCCTGTGTGCTCTTATGTCATGTCTGTGCACTGCAACATTGAAATTTCCCCTCTGTGGGACGAATGAAGGATCTCTATATATCCCACAATGCACCTCTTTGCCTGATAAGAGTTTTATGATCTCAGAGAGGTAATTGTTGGGCACAAATGTACATGTACACACACACTTACACACACACACACATGTACACACACACGCACACAGACGCACACACACACAGACACACACACACACTTTTGTTGTAATTTCAGACTATACTGTACTTCCAACCACAGGGGTCAGGGGGTTGTGTAGCAGGTTTTGTGTATCAGGTTTTGTCTTGTGAGTTGTGTGTTGCTGGGGGATTACTAATGACACGACAACAGAACACCGAGGGAAACGCACACATGTGTAACGAGGTCTTTAAAGATGTGTTTCCGCTGTTTGTGAATTAGCCTCTGACTGCACTCGTCACGTCAGGGGCATGTCCCACGGTCGACCGGCGCCAAACACCTCGCTGCTGTCACTCAGAACGAGGCGCAACATGAAGCGGGCGCTGAGGCGTGTGGGACTGAGGCGTGTGGGGCTGAGGCGTGTGGAGCTGAGGCGTGTGGGGCTGAGGCGTGTGGGGCTGAGGCGTGTGGGGCTGAGGCGTGTGGGACTGAGGCGTGTGGGGCTGAGGCGTGTGGAGCTGAGGCGTGTGGGGCTGAGGCGTGTGGGGCTGAGGCGTGTGGGGCTGAGGCGTGTGGGGCTGAGGCGTGTGGGGCTGAGGCGTGTGGGGCTGAGGCGTGTGGGGCTGAGGCGTGTGGGGCTGAGGCGTGTGGAGCTGAGGCGTGTGGGGCTGAGGCGTGTGTGGCTGAGGCGTGTGGGACTGAGGCGTGTGGAGCTGAGACGTGTGGGACTGAGGCGTGTGGAGCTGAGGCGTGTGGGGCTGAGGCGTGTGGGACTGAGGCGTGTGGGACTGAGGCGTGTGGAGCCGAGGGCGTGTGGAGCTGAGGCGTGTGGGGCTGAGGCGTGTGGGGCTGAGGCGTGTGGGGCTGAGGCGTGTGGGGCTGAGGCGTGTGGGGCTGAGGCGTGTGGGGCTGAGGCGTGTGGGGCTGAGGCGTGTGGGGCTGAGGCGTGTGTGGCTGAGGCGTGTGGGACTGAGGCGTGTGGAGCTGAGACGTGTGGGACTGAGGCGTGTGGAGCTGAGGCGTGTGGGGCTGAGGCGTGTGGGGCTGAGGCGTGTGGGGCTGAGGCGTGTGGGGCTGAGGCGTGTGGGGCTGAGGCGTGTGGGGCTGAGGCGTGTGGGGCTGAGGCGTGTGGGACTGAGGCGTGTGGAGCTGAGACGTGTGGGACTGAGGCGTGTGGGGCTGAGGCCTGTGGGACTGAGGCGTGTGGGGCTGAGGCGTGTGGGGCTGAGGCGTGTGGGACTGAGGCGTGTGGGGCTGAGACGTGTGGGACTGAGGCCTGTGGAGCTGAGGCGTGTGGGGCTGAGGCGTGTGGGGCTGAGGCGTGTGGGGCTGAGACGTGTGGGACTGAGGCGTGTGGGGCTGAGACTTGTGGGACTGAGGCGTGTGGAGCTGAGGCGTGTGGGGCTGAGACGTGTGGGGCTGAGGCGTGTGGGACTGAGACGTGTGGGACTGAGGCCTGTGGGACTGAGGCGTGTGGGACTGAGGCGTGTGGGGCTGAGACGTGTGGGACTGAGGCGTGTGGGGCTGAGACGTGTGGGACTGAGGCGTGTGGGGCTGAGACGTGTGGGACTGAGGCCTGTGGGGCTGAGGCGTGTGGGGCTGAGGCCTGTGGGACTGAGGCGTGTGGGGCTGAGGCGTGTGGGGCTGAGGCGTGTGGGACTGAGGCGTGTGGGGCTGAGACGTGTGGGACTGAGGCCTGTGGGACTGAGGCGTGTGGGGCCGAGACGTGTGGGACTGAGGCGTGTGGGGCTAAGGCGTGTGGGGCTGAGGCCTGTGGAGCTGAGGCGTGTAGGGCTGAGACGTGTGGGACTGAGGCGTGTGGGGCTGAGACGTGTAGGACTGAGACGTGTAGGACTGAGACGTGTAGGACTGAGACGTGTGGGACTGAGGCCTGTGGAGCAGAGGCGTGTAGGACTGAGACGTGTAGGACTGAGACGTGTAGGACTGAGACGTGTGGGACTGAGGCGTGTGGGACTGAGACGTGTGGGGCTGAGACGTGTGGATGTGGGGCTGATGCGTGTGGGACTGAGGCGTGTGGGACTGAGGCGTGTGGGGCTGAGGCGTGTGGGACTGAGGCGTGTGGGACTGAGACGTGTGGGGCTGAGACTTGTGGATGTGGGGCTGAGGCGTGTGGGACTGAGGCGTGTCGGGCTGAGGCGTGTGGGACTGAGGCGTGTCGGGCTGAAGCGTGTGGAGCTGAGGCGTGTGGGACTGAGGCGTGTCGGGCTGAAGCGTGTGGGACTGAGGCGTGTGGAGCAGAGGCGTGTAGGACTGAGGTGTGTAGGACTGAGACGTGTAGGACTGAGACGTGTCGGACTGAGGCGTGTGGGACTGAGACGTGTGGGGCTGAGACGTGTGGATGTGGGGCTGAGGCGTGTGGGACTGAGGCGTGTGGGACTGAGGCGTGTGGGGCTGAGGCGTGTGGGACTGAGGCGTGTGGGACTGAGACGTGTGGGGCTGAGACTTGTGGATGTGGGCTGAGGCGTGTGGGACTGAGGCGTGTCGGGCTGAGGCGTGTGGGACTGAGGCGTGTGGGCTGAAGCGTGTGGAGCTGAGGCGTGTGGGCTGGGCGTGTGGGTGAGCGTGTGGGACTGAGGCGTGTGGGCTGAGGCGTGAGGGTGTGGGGAGGCTGAGGCGCGTGTGGGACTGAGGCGGTGGGACTGAGCGTGAAGCTAGGCGTGTGGGGTGAGGTGTGGAGCTGAGGCGTGTGTGGCGTGTGGGTGAGACGGTGAGGCTGAGCGTGTAGGAGGGGGCTGAGGCTGTGGAGAGGCGTGTGGACTGAGCGGTGGACTGAGACTGAGGAGAGGAACGTGTGGGATGAGGCGTGTGGGACTGAGGCGTGTGGGGCTGAGACGTGGTGTGGGCTGATGCGTGTGGGACTGAGGCGTGTGGGACTGAGGCGTGTGGGGCTGAGGCGTGTGGGACTGAGGCGTGTGGGACTGAGACGTGTGGGGCTGAGACTTGTGGATGTGGGGCTGAGGCGTGTGGGACTGAGGCGTGTCGGGCTGAGGCGTGTGGGACTGAGGCGTGTCGGGCTGAAGCGTGTGGAGCTGAGGCGTGTGGGACTGAGGCGTGTCGGGCTGAAGCGTGTGGGACTGAGGCGTGTGGAGCAGAGGCGTGTAGGACTGAGGTGTGTAGGACTGAGACGTGTAGGACTGAGACGTGTCGGACTGAGGCGTGTGGGACTGAGACGTGTGGGGCTGAGACGTGTGGATGTGGGGCTGAGGCGTGTGGGACTGAGGCGTGTGGGACTGAGGCGTGTGGGGCTGAGGCGTGTGGGACTGAGGCGTGTGGGACTGAGACGTGTGGGGCTGAGACTTGTGGATGTGGGGCTGAGGCGTGTGGGACTGAGGCGTGTCGGGCTGAGGCGTGTGGGACTGAGGCGTGTCGGGCTGAAGCGTGTGGAGCTGAGGCGTGTGGGACTGAGGCGTGTCGGGCTGAAGCGTGTGGGACTGAGGCGTGTGGAGCAGAGGCGTGTAGGACTGAGGTGTGTAGGACTGAGACGTGTAGGACTGAGACGTGTCGGACTGAGGCGTGTGGGACTGAGACGTGTGGGGCTGAGACGTGTGGATGTGGGGCTGAGGCGTGTGGGACTGAGGCGTGTGGGACTGAGGCGTGTGGGGCTGAGGCGTGTGGGACTGAGGCGTGTGGGACTGAGACGTGTGGGGCTGAGACTTGTGGATGTGGGGCTGAGGCGTGTGGGACTGAGGCGTGTCGGGCTGAGGCGTGTGGGACTGAGGCGTGTCGGGCTGAAGCGTGTGGAGCTGAGGCGTGTGGGACTGAGGCGTGTCGGGCTGAAGCGTGTGGGACTGAGGCGTGTGGGGCTGAGGCGTGTCGGGCTGAGGCGTGTCGGGCTGAGGCGTGTCGGGCTGAAGCGTGTGGAGCTGAGGCGTGTCGGGCTGAAGCGTGTGGGACTGAGGCGTGTGGGGCTGAGGCGTGTCGGGCTGAGGCGTGTCGGGCTGAAGCGTGTGGGGCTGAGGCGTGTCGGGCTGAAGCGTGTGGGACTGAGGCGTGTCGGGCTGAAGCGTGTGGGACTGAGGCGTGTGGGACTGAGGCGTGTCGGGCTGAAGCGTGTGGGACTGAGGCGTGTCGGGCTGAAGCGTGTGGGGCTGAGGCGTGTCGGGCTGAAGCGTGTGGGTCTGAGGCGTGTCGGGCTGAAGCGTGTGGGACTGAGGCGTGTCGGGCTGAAGCATGTAGGGCTGAGGCGTGTCGGGCTGAAGCGTGTGGGACTGAGGCGTGTCGGGCTGAAGCGTGTGGGGCTGAGGCGTGTCGGGCTGAAGCGTGTGGGACTGAGGCGTGTGGGACTGAGGCGTGTGGGACTGAGGCGTGTGGGACTGAGGCGTGTCGGGCTGAAGCGTGTGGGGCTGAAGCGTGTGGGACTGAGGCGTGTGGGGCTGAGACGTGTGGGGCTGAGGCGTGTGGGGCTGAGGCGTGTGGGGGCTGAGGCGTGTGGGGCTGAGGCGTGTGGGGCTGAGGCGTGTGGGGCTGAGGCCTGTGGAGCTGAGGCGTGTGGGGCTGAGGCGTGTGGGGCTAAAGCGTGTGGGACTGAGGCGTGTCGGGCTGAAGCGTGTGGGGCTGAGGCGTGTCGGGCTGAAGCGTGTGGGACTGAGGCGTGTCGGGCTGAAGCGTGTGGGACTGAGGCGTGTCGGGCTGAAGCGTGTGGGACTGAGGCGTGTCGGGCTGAAGCGTGTGGGACTGAGGCGTGTCGGGCTGAAGCGTGTGGGGCTGAGGCGTGTCGGGCTGAAGCGTGTGGGACTGAGGCGTGTCGGGCTGAAGCGTGTGGGACTGAGGCGTGTCGGGCTGAAGCGTGTAGGGCTGAGGCGTGTCGGGCTGAAGCGTGTGGGACTGAGGCGTGTCGGGCTGAAGCGTGTGGGGCTGAGGCGTGTCGGGCTGAAGCGTGTGGGACTGAGGCGTGTGGGACTGAGGCGTGTGGGACTGAGGCGTGTGGGACTGAGACGTGTCGGGCTGAAGCGTGTGGGGCTGAAGCGTGTGGGACTGAGGCGTGTGGGGCTGAGACGTGTGGGGCTGAGGCGTGTGGGGCTGAGGCGTGTGGGGCTGAGGCGTGTGGGTCTGAGGCGTGTGGGGCTGAAGCGTGTGGGTCTGAGGCGTGTCGGGCTGAAGCGTGTGGGACTGAGGCGTGTCGGGCTGAAGCGTGTGGGGCTGAGGCGTGTCGGGCTGAAGCGTGTGGGGCAATTACGTCATCACACGCAGGACAAAAACGTAATTGTGGGAAGTTAGATTGATCTAATTAAACCAATTGTGTGATTCTGCGTCAACTTGTTTTGAACCATAAATTCACTTTACATTCATTACTTGAAAAAATGTCTTTGGTTTTGAGTAGAATTATACCCTAACTCAGCTGTGGCACAGATACCATTATTA